TCTAGTCACTTAACAACAAGACTACATTTTATAGAGCATACAACATTTGACTAGTGTTAAGGAACTGATAAATGAATAGTGGCTGAAGAGTATATATGTACTTAAGCATTACCTGACTGAATTTTCCCTTCTTTCCTCCTCTCACTCCTCCATCCCATTAGACTTCCTCCCCACAGCAACTGCATAGAGGCCATGAGAGCCAGTGGTCATTTTCTGTCCTCAGTTCAGTTCACTGTCTAGAACCTCCCCTAGGACTCACTCATCTCTGGCTTCGGTGACATTGTACTCCCCTGAATCTGGGCCTCCTTGTGGGCTGCTGCCTTTTGTTTGGCTGTGCAGATTCCTTTTCCTTGGCTGACTTCCATGTTTTACTCATGAGCGTGTTTTCTTCTTACTCTTAGGTGATCTCCAGTCTGAACTTTCTCTCCATACTCTGATGATTCCCTTGGCCAAAAACTAACCTTTCAGGTCAAGCCACAGAAACCTAACCACTTGCACTTCAGTGTCTTAAGTGAAATTAAGCCTCAAACTTAATGTGCCCCAATCCCAATTCTTGACAACCTCCTGCATTTCCCAGTGTTTCTGCCTGTGTTCATGGTACTGCCATCCTCCAAAATTTTCCTTTGCAGTCGCTCATTCCCTTAACTACTCTATCCTCATCCTCATACTACTGCTCTCTCTAACTTAAAATCTTCTTACCTGGTCTGCTCACTTTAACTCCTTCCCGTTTTAGTCTTTATTCTCCACAACAGCCACTCATCTTTTTAAAAAAGTTTTTAGTAGCTTTCCATGACAGCAATTCAGAATGAAATCCAAACTCCTTATTAATGACCTTGTGGGGACCTTCATGGTCTGGCCCTTTCTTGTACAGTATCCCTCTTGCTCACTGTGCTCCAACCACACTGGCCTATTTTCAGTCTCTGAAATATGCAAACCTGTTTCTAGAACTTTTCCCTAGAGCAGTTTTCTGCCTGTCCTTTACACAGCTGGCTCCTTCTCATTGTTAGTCTTAGCCATCATCTCCATAACAAGCTCTTCCCAGGCTGTCCTGTGTGGTGTGTGCACCCCAACCCTCTTCCCTGGGAGTTGCATCACTGCTGCTGCTGCTGCTGCTTGTATTTCAAAGCACGGACCCAAATTTGTGTTTGCTTTTTACACCAGCTACTCCTTGGAAACATTATAATGGGTTGGAATTGACTCAACGGCACTTAACGACAATAACAACAATTTTACTCACTGGCTATCACAGTTGATTGTAAATTCTTGATTTGTTTTGTTTTACCAGTCCTTGTACGCTCACAGTCATGAAGTCAATTCCAACTCATAGCGAGCCTGTACGGCAGAATAGAACTGCTCTTTAGGGTTTCTGAGGCTATACATCTTTATAGCACCAATCAGTCTTTTTGAAGAGCAGCTGGTGGATTTGAAACACCAATTTTGCGATTAACAGCCCAACAATTAAACCAGTGTTCCATCCGGGGTCCTTAATCAGTGTTTGTTGTTGTTGGTAAGTGTCATCAAGTTGGTTCTGACTCAGTAGTGACCTATATAGGGTTCTCAAAGTACAGCTGGTAGGTTTGAACTGCCAACCTTGCAGTTAGCAGTCCAGTGTATAGTGCCACACCAGGACTTCAATCAGTGTATGTTGTTGTTGTTCCGTGCCATCGAGTTGATTCCGATCCATAGCAACCCTGTATAGGGTTTCCAAGGAGCAGCTGGTGAGCTTGAACCACCAACCTTGCAGTTCAAACGACTGTGTAGTCTGACGCATTAGCCCACAGCACCATGCCAGGATGCAGTAAAATACCCTGTAGGCTATTTTTTCCTGAGTGAAACAAAATGTGAATGACTTAAGTTCTAAGCTAAAACATCTCTAAATGTCAAGAGTTCATTTTCTATGTAACTCTCCATTACTGGATTTTGAATATATGGACTGTGTAGCTGCCTAGGTTAGATCAGAGTAACTTATAGAATTAAGTCAACAAATACTTATTCAGTCTACTGTGCTAAGGTACAGAGATAACTGATAAATTATTGTTGTTGTTGTTGTTGCTGCTAAGTACCGTGGAGTCGGTTCCGACTCATAGTGACCCTGCACAAGGTTTCCAAGGCTACAAATCTTTATGGGAGCAGAAAGCCTCATCTTTCTCCCACGGAACAGCTGGTAGTTTCAAACTGCCGACCTTGAGATTAGCAGCCCAATTCATAACCACTACGCTGTGTTTTAAGAGCTCACGGTCCCAAAGGGCAGACAAATAGTAATTGCAGTCCAGTGCTGTAGGTGCTACAATATTAGGTTCATTAAGAACACCAAATAGTGAATGGCTCTCTTACAGGGTAGCTGTGAAGGACGATGAAACAGGTCCCATTTGCTAGGCAGTCAAGCTGGAGTGGTGGTTGTTGTTGTTGTTGTTAAGTGCCTTCGAGTCAGTTCCGACCCATAGCGACCCTGTACAGGGTTTCCAAGGCTGTAAATCTTTACGGGAGCAGAAAGCCTCATCTTTCTCCCGCGGAACGGCTGGTAGTTTCGAACTGCTGGCCTTAAGGTTCACAGCCTGATGGTAGGGCATCTATACTGATGTCAGTATTGCCGTGGTGGAGAAATGTTAACCTGTATGTTTCATTTGGTACCCAAATCTAGTAGGTTCCTGTGTCTGACAGTAAATATTATTAAGAGGATAGATAGCAAGAGATAGCTAAAAAAAAAAAAAAAAAAAAAGGTATCCAAATCTGACTAGGGAGAGCTTGGGTGTATTCATGGGAGACTAAATGGTCTGAAGCTAAAGCTATGCTAGGAGAGAGAGAGCACTCAGTGCCATGCTAAAGGTTGGGACTTTTGTAACCTACTTAGCAACGTGATTTCAGTAAAATCTCTTTAGGGACGGTGAGAGGAACAGTTGAAGGATGTGGGACTGGAGGCAGAGAGGTTCCTTTAGAGGCTGAGGAGTTGTTAGTTGACAGAGAATGAGGGAATGAGAGAGACAACTGGCAGATGGAGAGGAGGGAGCAGATTCAAGAGGTTTTAAAGGCACAGGAGGAACTCAGTGGGAAGAGAGAAGACAATTTCCAGATTTCTGCTGGTTTGAAGAACTGGGTAGATGGGAAATGTTCTTCATTAATAGAGAGGGAACTGGTAAGGATCACACTCTGAGGGAAAAGATGATCTCTGGAAATGATTGTTTGAGGTAATGGTAGGGTACATTCTCATGAAAAATTTTATTATAAATCCGAGTCTGGTTCTTAGGAGTTAATTCCTGGTTAGAGATTAGAGTAATTTTGATAGACTTGGAAATTCACAATTCAGAAGGGCTATACAAAGTGAGAAGGAATACCACCAAGGTTATCACCCTGGGTAATGTGAATGTTTAAAGGGATGCTACCAAACCCCCAAACCCATTGCCAATGAGTTCTCACAGCAAGCCTGTAGGACACAGGAACTGCTCCCTTGGCTTTCTGAGAATGGAAATCTCTATGGGAACAGACAGCGTCATCTCTCTCCCACAGATCAGCGTCTTGCTGCGTTTGCACTGCTGACTTTGCTGTTATCAGCCTCATACTTAATGTACCAGGGCTCCTTCAAAGCTGATGGGAGGAGGGGAGCGGCGGGTGAAAGAAAAGTCTTTAAAAATATGACGAAGAAGGAACAAAGTGGTGGGATGATTGCTGCTAACTGCTATGGAGTTGGGTTACCAAGGATCAGCTGATGGGTTTGAACCGCTAACCTTGTAGTTAGTAATCTAGTATAATAAACTTACACTACAGCACCACACCTGGAGTCCAGTAGGATGATAACAGGGCTGAATTTTCAACAAGAAAGAAAGACTCAGAGGTTTCATATGCTAATGAAGGGAAGTAATCCTCCATCATTTACAACTCAGGTAGTTTTAATGTCTATAGACTATGCTTTCAATGCTAATTGTTTTGAAAATACTTCACCTTAGTCAATCAAAGGGAAGAGATGAGACTGTGGTTGGGTTAATACAAATCAGTCCTCATATTGGGGAAAAATCAGTTCAGTATATTCATGTATCTTGTGAAGCAGTGTATTTTCATATACACGAATATGTTATCTTTCTGTGTTGTTATTGTTAAGTGCTGTCAAGTCGGTTCTGACTCATAGTGACCCTGTATAGGGATTTTCCAAGGAGCGGCTGGTGAGTTTGAACCACTGACCTTGTGCTTCAAACTGACCTTGAGGTTGAGTGCTTATCATCTGACAGCAGGACTCTGTATTGTACAATACAGGAATCTTATTCAGTGAAATTATAAAGTACTATATTTGATGCAATTTAGCATACTAAGGGCTACATGTTTTTTTTAAGGCACCATACTTTCAATGTAGTATCAGTAGTATAGACATTTTAGCTTGAGAAGCATACACTATCTCCAGAGAAGACAGGTTGTCCTTTGTACAGCCTCAGCCCAGATACTTAGTCATTAACTTTGATTAGGCTGTGGGAGATTCTCTTAAGATACTGGTTATAAAAAACAAAGTAATTGTCTTTTAAGAATAATTGCAGTGAAGTGTAACTAAACAGACAAGCTACTCATGCGTGTTGGTCTCTCTCTATGGTGAAAGTCACAGATTTGAAATATAAGCAGAGGGTTGTTTGGTGAGTATGAGAGCTTAGCAGTGTGAATTAGCTGAATGATTTTATTTTGGTGGTGGGAGAAGAACATTTGCTTGCATACCTATATATTCAGAGCCCTAGTCTGGCTTCTATAAATAAAATTTAGCTATCAGTGAGAGCCTTTGTTGAGTAGGCACTTTTTTAGGAGACAGAGATTAGTGTTTCTGCAGGAAAGAACTTAACTATCTAGTTGAGAGCATACCAAAATCTGGTAGCAAAGAATTGACACCAGTTTTTCCACTCTAAGAATATTGGTATTAGAGATTTGTAATGCCTTGTGTGATAACATACTAATATAGTAACATTGTGGTATCAGTGGTTTTTGAAATGCACTGGAGTGCTATAATTACTTTTCCTTTGAACCTGCAGGTTCCCCTGAAAAGAAAGCTGAATCTGTATCCAGGAATCAAGAAAACAGCAATGCAAATGCTATCAAGAATAGAAAAGCAAGTCTAGTATCTAAAGATAACCGGACTGAAAAGAAACCTGCAGAGAATTCATCAGTACAGAGTCAAGTGCAAAAGGGGAATGATGAATCTGAAAGTGATTTCGAATCAGATCCCCCGTCTCCTAAGAGTAGTGAAGAGGAAGAGCAAGAAGATGAAGATGTCCTTCAGGGAGAACAAGGAGATTTTAATGATGATGATATTGAGCCTGAAAATCTGGGCCATAGACCCCTCCTTATGGATTCTGAAGATGAAGAAGAAGAAGAAAAACATAGTTCTGATTCTGATTATGAACAGGCCAAAGCAAAGTACAGTGATATGAGTCCTGTCTACAAAGATAAATCAGGCAGTGGACAAATCCAAGATGCTAGTATAAAACCACTCCTTACCCCAACCCAGTTACCTTCTGGTGTTGGGGTAGAGATGCCCAAACAGGAGTTTGATGTATTTGGTGCTGTCCCCTTTTTTGCCATGCACACACAACTCCAGCAAAGGGAGAATGAAAAGAACCTATCTCAACAGACCCATGTTCCTCCTGTGGGACTAGAGCAAGAAGAATTCGATGTATTCACAAAGGCACCCTTTAGCAAGAAGGTCAGTGTAGAAGACTGCCAGGTGGTGGGGTCTGAAGCGCAAACTCTCCCTGGTTGTCCTCAAAGTGTAGATATATTTGGCTCCACTCCATTTCAGCCCTTCCCCACATCAGTAAGTAAAAGTGAAAGCAATGAGGATGTTTTTGGACTTGGACCCTTTGAGGAAATAACTGGAAACCAGCAGCAAAAAGTCAAACAGCGCAGCTTACAGAAACTCTCTTCTCGCCAAAGGCGAACAAAGCAGGACATGTCCAAAAGTAATGGGAAGAGGCATCATGGCACACCAACCAGCACAAAAAAGACTTTGAAACCTACCTTCCGCACCCCAGAGAGAGCTCGCAGGCACAAAAAGGTGGGCCGTCGAGACTCTCAGAGCAGCAATGAATTGTTAACCATCTCGGACTCCAAGGAGAACATTAGTGTGGCACTGACTGACGGGAAAGACAGAGGGACTCTCCTGCAGCCTGAAGAGAGCCTGTTGGACCCCTTTGGTGCCAAGCCCTTCCATCCTCCAGAGCTGACACGACACCCTTCACATCCAGGACTGAGTGATCTCCGTGCCGACCACAATACTGTTCTGCCTGGGCGGCCAAGGCAGAATTCACTGCATGGGTCATTCCATAGTGCTGAAGCGTTGAAAATGGATGATTTTGGTGCCGTACCCTTTACAGAACTTGTGGTGCAAAGTATCACTTCACATCAGTCCCAACAGCCCCAGTCAGTTGAATTAGACCCATTTGGTGCTGCTCCATTTCCTTCTAAACAGTAGACACTTCTTATGGGTTCTTGGCATTAACTCCTGTTTCAAAAAAGTATGAAGAGTTTGTTTTATGAATTTGAAAGAAAATTCGTGTATAGTTCTTTGTATTATTCATTCTTACAGGTCAATTAGAAGAAGTTAAGTGATTTTTTAAATAGACCAAATAGAAAAAGGAAGTATTTCCATAGCTTGGTAGTAACTTGATGCCTCTTAAAAATACTTCTTCCAAGTAGGAGAAAAAGGAGCTAAACTGTAATGACTAGTTAAGGGTTTCAGCTGCTGACAGTACTGCACAGACACACAGGTGTGAAACTTCAGCAGAAGCACATGGAACTTTGCAGTTACGAAGCCACTTCGGAAAAGATTACAAAGCCAACTGCTGTTTTTGAAAGCAGAATGTCATTTTTGTGTGCATATCCCAGGTTCATTCCAGAATCCAGCATTTAAAACTACGGTTGTTTTGTACATACACAGATTGAGTTTGTGACATTTTACAAAGTGTCTTCTAATTTCTACACATTGAAAACCAATCTAGTTCTCATCTGGGGAGTGTTCAGAGGTTTTAGTCCTTATACCTTTGTCTACCAAGCAGAGCCAGAGGTAATTGACTATTGTGCCTAAATGTTTTTTCATTTTTAAAAAAACAAGTGCCATTAATATGAAATATCTGCATAGGAGCCTTGAACAAAATCTAAAGATAAATTCTAATATTGGGGGCTGGGGGGAAAGGAAGGAAATAGAAGGGAGTAAAAACGTTATCTTCTGTTTGTGAATGGCTTGATTGCCCTAAACTTTTACTATCATGCCCCTCCTAATGCAGATAAGGTAGCAAACAGGGGAGTGAGGATGAGGGTTATGTAGAAATTTTATTTCAGGAAAAAAAAATATATATATATATGTAGCTGAAATCCTGATTTTTTTTTTTTAAAAAAACTTTATAAAAAATTGTGTTGCATTGAATAATATACTTCATTAAATTAATACCTTCACCAACTACTCCCCAAGTTGTGAACAATAATTATTTTAGTTAGGCTGGGAGGGTGGAGTAACTGCACTGAACAGTGATACCCATAAAGCCTTATAGGCAGGACTCCGCATCCTGCTGCAAGTACCTCTGCACTGATGTACAAGATCTCAAAATGGACATAAGATAGTAGATGGTGAGCGACTAGCATCTGAACTCTGCTCATGAAGAGAATCCAGCTACCAAATTGCCTTTCTTTATACCACAAATCCTAATTTGATACTTGAGATTTTCTAGAAATTATGTGTGAAAGAGCATGAATACAATGCCTGTGCTTCCTATGTCTTCAACTGTTTTAATTTATACTACCAAATTAATATTTAGAAGTTTCTAGTACTATTAAGCTTATTTACCTAAAGAGACAGCGATTCTTAATCAACTCACACTTTCCTTGATTGCTATATTTTAAGTTAATTCTCTTTGAACTCAGTAGATTTTCTAAGTAATCTTATTAGCTTCCCTTCATCATAGTGTCCCAGTGAAATAAGCTGTTCTGTTTTCACAATTCTGACTTGGAGAGAAGCAAAGTCTGTGGAACTATATACTCACCTTTTACACAGATTTGTGGGTAGATAGTAAAGTAGTATGTGAATCGCAGTGTCATAGAGACAGAGTGAGCAAGCATTACATTACTACGTAGACTTGTCCTATTCGAGTTGGACTACAGGAGACTGTTCCACTCAGCTAGATCTTTTTCAGTTACTTGTCCTTGTGCCAAAGGCAAATACTATGTTTGCACCTTTTATCCTGATTCTCAGGTTAATACTGCTAATGCAAATGCTAAAGTAGATATTCTTTAAAACTTTACAAAGTAGATTGAAGATACTTTCTTTTAAAAAAGTGAAGAGTTGATGATTCCATGAATTACAGTAGGTTTGTATCAAACAATTTTTTTTAAAATGAAAATCTGTTGTTGACATGGACACAATGTGTTTCTTTGACTATTTTAGTCCTTGGCCTTGGTCTCTGCAAAAGAGTAAGGACTGAACTAGCGTGGCCTCCTTGGAACATCAATGTGAACTACCTAGAGCCTATCTGATATGAACACCTTCAGTATATTGAATCATGTTAAATTGAGGTACAGTAATTATGAAAGCCCAAGGGACAACTTGTACTTTAATGTTACATAGTTTGCCCTCACTTTGACCAGTTGAGCCATCCTCTACTTGCTACAAATTCATCACTGTTGCCCTCACTGCTGCACATGCAGCTTTTAAAGCATTGAGAAGAATGCACCTGTTCCAAATTAGCTACAAATTTGACTTAGAGATACACTTAGGAATGGATCTTGTTACCTGGGGACTGCCTGGAGACACTTGGACTTACAATTTATCCATTATGAGGAATCAGACTTAGCTTGAAATATGTACAGTTTCATGTTTAGTACAACCCAATGGCCCTTTTGCGATTATAGTATAGTGGAAAGATTCAGGCTTCAGAATATATTTGGGGAGTTTCTTTGTTTTGAAGTGAAGACATTTTCCCAAGGAATACAGATATTTTGGGTTTGCTTTCCTTTTTCAAGGAGCCCTGGTGGCACTGTAGGATAAGCACTGGACTGCTAACTGCAAGGTTGGCAGTTCAAACCCACCAGCCGCTCTGCAGAAGGGAGATGAGGCTGTCCGCTCATGTAACGATTTCCAGCCTCCGACCCTATACCAGGTCTCTATGTGTTGGAATGTGTAATTGATAGCAGTGGGTTTGGTTTGGGGTTTCAATGATCAACTCCCTCTCTCCACACAGCAGATGCCCAAGGCACGGAAAGGTACTTCACAGAACACCTGTCACACAGAACTACCACGTTAGCTCTATTATGGATGGTCCAACACTGGATTAAGGAAGGAGAGTTCAAAAAATTACGTTCATACTATTGTTTGGATGTCCCTTGTGCTGCTTGAGGATGTAGTCATCATAACTCTAACCCTGTTATACTTGAAAAATGTTCAAGAGAGGCAAATATCACGAAGCTAGCAAAAATCTATGGCCAAAGCTATGTCTTTCCTAACAGCTTTAATAATAATGCTTATTGGTTTTGAGTCATCTTTCAAAAAAGTGGACCATTTGCTTAATAATTTCAATATGATCACTTGAATAAAAGTTTAGTATTAAAAAGGTCCACATTTATGGCATTGAAGAATGCATTGGCCAAGCAAGATACGAAAGTTGAGGAAATGTAAGCTGGATGAACCCCATCTTCTCTCATTCCCTGCCCCCTGTTGTCCCTGTGTCTATGTATTTGGGCATACTTATGACATTATCTGGAACTTACAGATGAATGCACCTTTTGATCCTACCCAGTTTATTGGTGAACAGTGATAAATGGTGGTTCTCACCTTGCTGGTGAAGAGTGCTAACTAAGGCAGAGCCCAGTCTTTTCCTCGGATAATTGTAGAGAGTTGTTTTCTTACTATTCAGCTAGTGTTCTTGATTTATTTGAGGTTTTGGTACTTCACATGAGCACCGTTAGAAGGTACACGCGTATTACTATCACATGTTCTGGGGAGTGTGGGTACATTTGTTTATGTATAATCTGCAGTGAACTTGCTCATATTTTCGTTTTTAGCAAAACTATCATTTTACGTCCAGTTATTGAGATGACGGATCTACTGTGAGAATGAGCTGACATATCTACTGTGAGAATAACCTAAATGATATAGTTTATTTGAAAACTTTTATACTCAGTGGTATTTTATATATTAAGATAATTATAAATATATATGTACATGCATGCACCTGTCACATATCTCAACTGTGGAGTTAATGTGAATTTTTTAAAATGTAATTGCAACCACAATCATAGCTTAACGAGTATTCACTTCTAATAAAGGGTTTATAAAAGCCACTAAAGGAATAAAGTAGAAAGATGAAAAAAGCAAAGGCATCAGTTGGGGTTATTTTTATTGTATTTAGAAATTTATAGTGTTACTTTGGAAAGAACTGTTTTTTATTACTATGCTTTTTTGTGATTTAATCGTAAGCAGTATAGAAGCTACTTTTTAATTGCTGGCAAACAGCTTTAAGTGCACTTTCTTTGATCACACTTCCATTTGTTTGTTAAACTTGAATTTTCTGAAACCTTTTATGTACCACTAAGCAAATAACTTTAACTTTTAAATAAACTTGATTTACATCTTTATTATATTTCAAATTGTTACAAAATATACTTGCTAAAGTGACTTCAATCTTTAAATGTAGCTGGGAAACTTTTATGAGATAGTATCAGTTGCTTTCTTTTTCTATTTAATTAAGCACTAACTGATTTTTCTACTTTATTGCCTTTAAATTGCTGATTCTTATTGACAGAATTATGGCCCTCATTCATTTGTTTTGTTTGAAATTTATTTTCTTACTATATTTATCATGCCTACTGTTTTAGTAATTTGCTTTCTTTAAATGCAATAAATCTCAAATGGATTGCATATTCTTTATAATCACTGACTTCAGCGTTTTTCATTACTTGTCTTATTAAAGGCCCTTTCCTTCATACTGCAAACATTAAGTACCTATTATGTACCAACAAGTGGAATAGAAAAATGAAGACGATTATCTTCATCATTCTTAACGAGTTTAGAATTTAAGAAAGAAAACTCATTTTGGCCTAACATTTTTTTGCAGTAAAAACACAGAATATTCTAAAGCAGTCTGTAGTCACTACAATTATTACTGATAACAGGCTTACCTCATTTGATCGTGTTCCCCAGGTACTCCATTTTTTCAGATTGCAGGTTTGTGGCCACCTGGTGTTGAACACTCCTATTGGTGCTGATTTTTCATCAGCATGTGCTCACTTCATGTCTCTGTGTCACGTTTTGGTAATTCTCACAATATTTCAAACTTTTTCACAATGCTGTTGCACACTTAATATGGTATATACATAACTTTTATACATACTGGGAAATAAAAGTCATGTCATTTTATTGCGATACTTGCTTTATTGTGGTGGTCTGGAGCTGACCCTGTAGCACTTGGCCACTTGGCCAATCCATCTCATTGGGGGTCTGCCTCTTTTTCTCTTGACACTCCTCCTTACCAAACATCCTTCTCCAGCGACTGCCTGAGAAGAATATGCCCAAAGTATGAGAAACTAAGTTTGGCCATCTTGGCCTCCAAGGAGCACTGTGGCTGCACGTCTTTAAAAACGGATCTATTGGTTCTTTTGGCAGCCTGTGGCACTTTTAAGTATTCTTCTCCAACACCATAACTCAGAAGCATCTATTCTTCTACAGTGTTCCTTATTCACCATCCAGCATGCATATGAGGTTATTGAAAATACCATGGCTTGGGTCAGGCGCACCTTAGTCCTCAAGCTGACATCTTTGCTCTTTAAAACTTTAAAAAGGTCTTTGCAGCAGATTTGCCTAATGCAATATGTCATCTGATCTCTTGACTGCTGCTTTCATGAGTGTTGATAGTTGATCCAAGAAGAATGAAGTCCTTGACAACTTCAATCTTTTGCCCGTTGATAAGAATGTTGTTTGTTGGTCCAGTGGTGAGGATTTTGTTTTCTTTACATTGAGATATAATCCATACCGAAGGCTGTGCTCTTTTATCTTCATCAGTAAATGTTTTAAGTCCTCTTCACATTTGGCAAGCAAGCTTGTATCATCTGCATATCTCAGGTTGTTAATAAGTCTTCCTCCAATCCTCATGCCACATTTTTCTTCATGTAATCCAGGTTCTCAGATTATTTGCTGAGCCTACAGACAGAATAAGTATGGTGAAAGAGTACAACCCTGGCACACAATTTGCCTAATTTTAAACCATTCAGTGTTCCTTGATCTTTTTGAAAAACTGCCTCTTGGTCTATGTATAGGTTCCTCATGACAGCAATTAAGTGTTCTGGAATACTCATACTTCTCAATATTGTCCATAGCTTGTCATGATCCACACAATCAAAAGCCTTTGCATAGGCAATAATACATACTTTTTTTTTTTTTTTTTTAGTGACCCTAAATAGGGTTTCCAAGGCTATAAATCTATGGGAGCAGAAAGTCTCATCTTCAGTGACGTGGCTAGTGGAGATGAACTGCTCAGCTTGCAGTTAGCAGCCCAATGTGTAACCCACGATGCTCCCCAGGCTCCTTAAATAACATGTAGTTAAGAATATTTTTGTTTTGAGTGCATGAACTTAAAAAGGCCAATTTGCCTGATAGTGGCACTACTGAAATTATAGGTATTTTGTAGTATTTTTAATAGCCAGGTTTACAGAGTAGGCTTAGTACCTAAGTGGCTGCTCATTTCAGCCCTCTAAGTATACATATTTTACTTTTCACAAGACCCCTTACTGAAGATATTTACCATTTCTCCCTTCTGAAGAGGTTTCATAATGGTAGTTTCATCTCTGGATCATTACCTTACTATTCTACTTGAGCATGGGTATAGAATTTCAGGGACCCATGGGACTCATAGCTCTTTCGGTATCAATACAATTGATGAGATGTTGTGTCCCTCCCTCATATCTAAGCTGATTCTTAGTTGGTACCAAACACACTGGCGGGATTACCAGGAGTCCTGATTTGGGGTGGATATAAATTTACTCAGCTCCACAACTGGCAGAAACCAGAAGTACAGGCTTTGCCCCCTGACGTTTCTTTAATGTCGGGCAGAGTCCATCTCTAGTTCGGTACCTGCCTAACGGACAGGTGTACAGCTTTATGCCTCAGTCACAATCTTCAGATTGGTTACTTTGTCCAGGTGGGATGCCATAAGATGTGACAGATATTCCCCGAATCTTCATTCCTGATGCTAAAATATGATTTTAAAGCTGTGAAATATTACAAAGAATGACATGAAGCACTTAAATATTTAGTAAAACCATTTTATTTACATAATACATATTTTGCCATGCAGCTAATAGAATTGCACTCCGTAATAACAAAAACAGGTAAGCACAATCTTGCTATTTGAAAATGGTTTCATATAGAAAGATAGTTGTTTCTTAAATGATTTAACTACAACCCTATAAATCTCTAGATAGTCAATTTAAAAGTCATGAATAATTTTAAAATGTACTTTTAAAGTCTGTAAAGAGCTTTTATAGTTTATACATTAGTAATACTCAAACCAATTGTTTTTAATGATCCAGCTGAATAGTGTACATTAATAAATCTATAAAACCAAAAATAAATATACATTATTAGAGGCTCAGATTGTACGCAAATTGTCAATAGTCTTCAGTGTTACCAGTATCTTTAGTACTTTTCCAGTAGTGCTGTGTACACACAGTAGTCAGTAAATGCCGACTTACGGAAGTGCTCATAGTTGACAGCAATCTTCACTCACTCATTCCCTACACTTCATAATAAATCACAGTAAAGACAAAAATGAGAGCCCATTGCTTTCTTACAATACTTAACATTTTCATAAAATGTTATGTTCACACAGTAAAATTCTCTCTACAGTCAGACTTGTATGCCTTTGAATTTCAAATACACATTCTTTAAAAAAGTCTGTTTTTAAATCTCTTAATTCAGATGACAAGAATTAAATAATTAGAATACTAAGTAAAAGACAAGATTTTTTTCATTTAATTAAAAGAAAATGAAACAATGCTCAATTTATTTTTATTTTGAGAGGAGACTTTATAATAAAACAAGTTCCAGACTTAAAAGTAGTGGAGTTTTCCCTTATTTAAAAATATCTAGTTACTCAATGTATTTTGTTTGGCCAGTATGGCAAAATATCTATTTAAAAGCAATTATCACATAAGCCGGAGTCCTGGTGTGGCGCTGCAGATTAATGCGCTGGACTGCAAGATCAGTTTGAATTGCAAGGTCAGCAGTTCAAGCTCACCAGCCACTCTTTGGAAACCTTACACAGGGTTGCTATGGGTCAGAACCGACTTGACAGCATTCAACAACAACAATCATATAAGCCAACAAGGGTTAGTTTAGAGGAAATACAACCTATTATCATTATACCAAAATCTATCACTTAGCATATGGATCAAATGTGAGGCCATATACAGTAAAACAGCCATTTCAAATAGCATTCCATAATAATGTTATCCTTGTTGAAATACTAGCCTAGGGAATTTATGTTCCAAAACCACTACACTGAAAACAAATACAAAATTTTATAGATGTGTAAAATGAGGCAGGTTAAAGCAATTTTTCACATACAAAAGGCAGAGACATGAAAGGCATTTATGGAAGGCTAATGTTCTAATATGCCAATAATTAAAACAGCTCAAGTCAATTCATTAAGAAACTTGAGTAATATTTTATGTTTCAATGAACAGCATTATGTTTTTATGGACTTTTTGCTTTAAAGGATTTCATTCAGATCAAAGACAAAGAGGGTTACATTGTATTGATAGGGCAGTTGAGTTATATATTATCTTTAATATACATAATGACAAATCATTTATCAGGTTCCAAATATTAGCTAATACATATCAATATTCTGTAAGTCATCAATGCAATGGTAATACATGTGTAAACAAAGGAAGATCAGAGCCCAAGTGAGTAAGCACATTATCAAATGGGGCATCTGCAGGACTTTGTTCTAAGGCTTAAGGTTTATTTCAGGGTCAGGACTAGGCCATCTGGATTCAATGGCCTTGTAAGTAGCACCCATATATATGAAATTTAGGACTGCAAATTCAGACAGTGAAAACTCTTCTGTAATGGGACTTTTGGGAAACAAAAAATCTTCTGCAGTCTACTTATAAGAACTCAAGTGTCTAATATGGAACTAAAAACCCTAGATGGCTAATAACTTGCCTTTTCGGCCAAGTATTCATATGATTCTTATCTGATAGAAAATGAGAATGTGTGTTCTTCTCAACACTTCTCTAAAATAAGTTAAAGTTTCTGTTCTGGCAAACTAAAAACCCAGTGATCCAAGGGAAGGGAGAAGCTACTCTAAAGAAAATTTCCAAGTGCCGGTTTCTCACAAAGCATATATTCAAAGTCTAGTAATTATTTGGATCACAATCCTAGTTTGTAGTAACTCTTGCTTTGATTAGGCACTTACACTTAATCATCTACTCAAAACTTCTTCCATTAAAGGAGTCTCACAGGATGACTCCATTCCCTAATGGAGATGGGCCTCTTCTGAGGAAATTAAGCTGGTGCTGTGTAGCAAGAGTCTCTCTCTACACTGGTTTAACATTCACTGTTGGTATTCACACTTCTCATCAGTGTCAACTAATTTTCATTTTCTGTACAAGCAGCAAATCAGTAATTTTAAGGGCCTGTACACCAATTACTATAGACCCCCAAGAATATTTTTTTGTTTCATTTTTTACAAAGTATTGTTCATGATATATTAATGAGGAAATAACAGGAATCCTAGAAATAGTGGGGTATACAATTCCCCATCAAAATATTGCTTCACAATTGAATACACCAGGTGGCTGTACCTGAATTCACAAATGTGAAACATGGTCAGGACACGGCTTGGCGTGCCTGTACTGCATGACGTAGACAGTGGACTGATGCCACCAGTACAGCATCACTACGGCAAGGACATGCCATATTTGGTGGCTTGATCCGAGGTAGTTGAGTTGTCCTGGGAAGGGAAAGCAGAAAGGAAAGAAAATGAACTGTACTATTTTGATATTATGGAAAAATCATCTCTGACACTAGAAGTATGGGTGAACAGCAGAGGGAGTAGAGTGCATTTCAAAGTGTCTAGAGACTTGTAAATTAATTCACAGCCATTTTTCATAAAATACCTATTTTTTAAAGTATGAATTCCTAAGTTAGGTGCTGTCAAGTCCTGTTCAACTTATAGTGAGCCTGAAAAGGGTTTCCAAGAAGCAGCTGGTGGGTTTGAACTGACTTTGTGGTTCCCAGTGCTCATCCTGTCACACCAGAGGTCCATGATTTCATACCTGAGTCCTATTCAAAATCTCACTTGGTTAAATCCAGGAGTTTTGACTTTTTGTCTCCCACATTTCACCCCGATACATTCTGGTGGAACAAAGAAAGCACACTGCATGCGTTCTGAATGAGTTAAAGCAAAGTAGTGCAACAAATCAGGGACAAGGCTTCACTGTTGTTCTTTGCAAATAAATCTGCTAGAAGCTCTTTTTATTTCAAGCGGGTCTAAAAGAAGAAAGCTCAAACTGGAGTCTTATGGCTCTGACTAAAGAATAATCTGCAAAATGTAATTTATAATTAGAGAACTAAGTTAGGTTGATGAGTTTATATATAATTTAAGAAAGCAATTGTTGCTAAAGGTTCAATCCCAAGAATATTGAGTGACAGGTAGGAAGCTTCATATCTTCCTCAGTGTGATAGTTAAGGTTTTGTTCAACTTAACTAGGCCACGTTTCTTAGTGGCTTGGCAGTTGAGATGTAGCTGTCCTCTATGATGTGATATTTGGGTCTGGTTGATACAGCAATAAAAGGATTAAGAGTGGGATGTTGTTATTAAGTGTAGTTGAGTCAGTTCTGACTCACATTGACCCTGTATAGTGTTTCTGAGGAGCGGCTGGTAGGTTTGAACCATCACCTTATGGTTCAAATTGATCTTGTGGTCTAATGCTTATCCTCTAGCACCATACCAGGATTCCAAGAGTGGGACTGTTGTTGAGTGCCACTGAGTTGGTTCCAATCCATAATAAACCTGTATAGGGGTTTTAAGGAGTGACTGGTGGGTTTGAACCGCTGACTTTATAGTTAGTAATCCAGTGCTTACGCTAGTAGGATGTTGTTAAGTGCCACTGAGTTGGTTTCCACTCACAGTAACCCTGCTTAGGTTTTCTTAGGAGTGGCTGGTGAGTTTGAACCGCCCACCCTAGAATTCAAAGCCACGTGTGGTCCAGTGTATTTATCCTACAGCGCCACACCTTTAATCCCACTACCACACTGATCCAATTTATGGAAGACTCCCCAAAGTGTGGCATGCAACACTTTTTATCTTACAAGAGATACAAGGAGAGAGATTTGCGCAGAGAAGTGGGGACTAAGATAGAAGACCCAGGAGTGGAGTGTTCTCCTTTGGACCTAGGGCCCCTGCACTGTGAGGCTCCTGGATCTTGGGAAAGACTGAGGCTAAGGTGCACGGAGATGTACAAAGAATACTGGACCTAGAGATATTACAGGAGGCAAGGACCTTTCCCCAGAGCCAGCAAAGAGAAAGCACGAGCCAGCACTCTAAGTTTATTCTAACTTGTGAGAGAATAAATATATGGTTGTTAAAGGTATCCACCAGTGGTATTTCTGGTATAGCAGCATTATACAGGAGTCCTTGTGCGCCGCTGTAGGCTAAGCACTGGAATGCTAACCACAAAGTTGGAGGTTTAAACACACCAGCTGCTCCTCAGAATGCCTATAAAGGGTTGTTGTTGTTAAGTGTCGTCGAGTGGGTTCTGACTTACAGTGACCCTGTTTAGGGTTTCTAAGGGGTGGCTGATGAGTTTGTGACCTTGTGATTCAAGCTTACCTTGTGGTCCTGTACTTTTCCTACAGTGCCACACCAGAACTCCGATACCAAGATATGGAGACTTAAATGTAAATAAATTACTTATTCATGGTACCTCATAGGGCATGGAATGGAAATATGAGAGAGCATCAAAAAGTTTGTTGAATAGATAATAGAATTTTTCCACAAACTTTTTGAAGGCCCTCTAACCTTTTCACCTAGAAGAATAATTAATACAATATTGAGATTTAAAATTTATAGTATAAATGAATAGGATTCTTTCTGTCTTTGCCAAGACCCCCTTTGACAGGTCCCCTATAAACCCATCTTGTCTGTCCACCATCTCATCACTACCACCATGCAACATTTCTTTTTACAGCCAGGCCATAAATGAAGACTGGCCAAAGGTGTTTCAACCATTTACATATCAACATCTTGAAACTGTATTACTCTTATCTGTGAAGACTTTTCATTTTTTGAGGAGTCCACATAATCACTACTCTAACATATCTGTGGAGTCCTTGCATGGCACTATGGTTTAATGCGCTGGACTGCAAGGTTGGTTTGAACCACAAGATTGGTGGTTCAAGCTCACCAGCCACTCCTTGGAATCCATACACAGGTTTGCTATAAATCGGAACTGACTCCACATCACTTAATAACAACAAAAACAACTTATCTGTACACATTCAGCTACAGAAGAGTACATTTCATGTCAAGTGTAGCACTGCAGGCTAATGTGCTAGACTGCAAGGTCGGCGATTCAAGCTTACTGGCTGCTCCTCAGAAACCCTACACAAGGTCACTATGAGTCGGAACTGACTCCATGGCACTTAACAACAAGAAGTCTTAGAAGAAAGTTAAGTTATATAACATTTGACTTTTTATACGTTTCTAGAATCAGAAAATTGGTTAACACCTGAACTGTAGAGACCTTTCATGCTTCAATTTTAGCTTTCATTTATTAATAAAGGTATTTTAAAACTGCATTTTACCAGATGATTTTTCTGAATAAAGTTCTAGCCCTGCCTGGAAGTTGTGTACAACTCAAGGACAACAGCCCAGTTAAGTTCCTCAGTACTAATGTCGGCACTCCCGGTTCTTGTTTATATTCTCTTAGCGTAGTGGTTATGAATCGGGCTGCAAGCCACAAGGTTAGCAGTTTGAAACTACCAGCTGTTCCGTGGGAGAAAGATGAGGTGTTCTGCTCCTGTAATGATTTACAGCCTTGGAAACCCTGTACAGGGTCGCTATGAGTCGGAACCGACTCCACAGCACACAACAACAATGAAAAATCAAGTTCAAAGAGGAATGCATAGAATTGGTCAAGTCATACTCTAAATCAATGTTTCTGATCCTTTCTTCTGCAAATACAGCTGAGTATTGACACAATCCCATGTTCAATTCACTGTGGAAGTGATTCTTATCCCGGTAGCAGGGATAAAATTGCACTTTGAATTTAAACTCTATCCGACTTCCATCCAGTCCCCCCACCCAACTGAAAACTCACCGAGTTGAGTTGTCTACTCTAGATGTCACTCTTGATTCAAGTCAGACAGCCTGAACTTAACGTTATTCTATCCATTTACAGAACTGTCCTTACTCAACCACATACTTCACTTACAGTATTAAGATTAAGGGACATAATCATCTTTATCATTTGCTAATCTTTGTTGAGTGCTTACTACTTGCTAGGAGCAATACTAAATGTTTTATATGCATTTTCTCATCCCCACAAGAGTCCCATGAGAGAAAGCAGTATTTCCATGTTTCAGGTGAAGAAACTCGACCTGAAAACTTTATGATGATTTTCATTTATTTACTTTCTTTTATCACTTTCTTTTCTTTTTTGTTTTATGTATCTTTGTATATATAAATTTGTTTAAAGAACTAGCGATAATCTATGGCAAATGCTCCTCTTTTTTAAAAAAAAGTTGTTGGGAATCAAGAGACTTGCAGAGTTTATACTCAATTCTACTATCTCTTCATAATCTGTGGGATGGTGATAACCCCACCTACTGTTACCAACTCATATTGTCAGGATGGAAGTAATGAGGTTGCTGTTGTTGGTAGGTACCCTTGAGTCAGTTCCAACTCAGCGATCTTGTATGGGGTTTCCGAGGAGCAGCTGATGCATCTGAACTGCCTACCTTGCTGTTCAAACCAACCTTGTGATCCAGTGCTTATCCTGCAGGGCTGGATTATTAAAAACCAAAACTGCGGCTTGTCATTGGGTGACAACAGGTCAAGGCCACATGTGAAGAGTAAATAATTACATTACCACAGAAACTTATCAACTATTCCAGTGTGATCTTTCATTACACTAATTAGATTTGACTGTAAATAGATTTTGATTATGAGCAAACTATCAAATCTATCTTAGTTTCCATCATTAAAGACAATCAAATACATGAGCTAAACAAAATATCCTGAGTATCCAAAGGTTTACATAAATGTTTTAGGATATTTGAAAGGCCATTAGAAAAGTCCCTTAAAGTACAAAAAATAAATGGGAAAACCATTAAAAAAAAAAAAAAGTGAGGGTTTAGATTAAAATTTGGGAATAGAACCACTGTATAATCAATAAAAGTAAAAAAAAAAAGATTAATCTCAGTTTTCATGTTCTGGGTCATATCCCTCAAGCATATATTTAGAATGAAGCTCCAAAGCTCCTATATAGGAGATACTTACCTGGGAAATACCTTTCTGGAACTTTGGAAATGTAGAATAGAAAAGCAAGAACAGCAATCACATACATCACAATTACACGAGGGGCAAAATCCTGAAAAAGAAAACATGCTTGTTTTTTTCCTTACAGATCTTCCTACTGCTGTCACTGAATTCTTTTTTTCTTTAATGTTTTATTGTGAATTATGTGATAGTTTACATGGGAGAACATTAGCTTTACATTCATCCTATCGTGTATCGTTCATTGCCATGGTTACAATCCCCTTCATGCATCATCAACCAACCAAAGGGTATATCCTGCAAGCCTGCCCCCCACCCCCACCCCTGGTCGTCAGCCCACAACTCCTCTCCCTCTCTGGGTGTAGAGTCCCAAGCCACTCCGTCTCTCCATGTCATCGTCTCTGCCTCCCATCTCTGGTGTCACTGCTTCTCTGGATAGGGTCCCACTCTCCGCTTTTCTCCCTTGATGGTCCCAGGGACCTCTGCTCCTGGACTGCAAAGTCAATCACTCCCCTCCATTTGCTACAAAACGTCTACCTTTACATTTCCAACCCTCACAATCAGTCCTGATAACAATCATTCACTATTGTACCACAAGAGACCCATCTGCATCTCCTTTCATCAGCCCCATCCAGACAGACTGGCTACTACTCAGTGTCATTGAATTCTTAGTATGAAATGTGAAATTATTAAATCTTTACTGCTTCTTCAGAGAGTCTCCAATAACAGAAACGCGCTCTCAATACTTTAGGATTAGAGCTTTAATACTGCTTCTTCAGAGAGTCTCCAATTACAGAAACGCGCTCTCAATACTTTAGGA